TTCAAAATGCAATCAGCTATAAGAACTATGGTATTTCAGTACCTTTAGAAATAAAGTATCTATACAAAAGAAATGTTACATACATAACTGTGACAGTCATTAAAATATTATAAAATATACAGTGTCTGATCACTTTCACTCTATTGCAATTTTATTAATGTAAAATAGAAAGTAAGATTTAGAATCATTTTCTTCCAATTTTCTATCCACAAGCAGTGTTGGTCTTTGAATCACATAGCTCCTATTTATTTTTAAAGAAGCATTAACATTTTCTAAAGCCTCTTGGCTACTTTTAATAGGTTAACCAATTTGCTTCAAAATGAACAAAACACAATGTTCAAAGCTTTGCTACCTTCCCCTGTAAGATTCAGTAATGAAAAACCCTAAAGGCAGTGGAAGAAACAGCACAAGGAAAATCAACATCACAGTACACGTGGTCTTTCTTAACCTTATCTGTCCTCATGCAAAAGCCGGCTGGAAGAAAGACGGTCTCTTGGAAGAGCCTCCCACCAATCCTCCCATTTCACATTTGCAAAGCTGTAATACCCAATGTTATGCTACAAAGTTTGGCTATACAATCTTTGTGCCGCTGTAGCAGTTTTGTTCTGCGCATCAGTAGAGTGCTTCTGTTGGGTGGTTTGAAGTTTTCCTCCCCCTGCTTGGACAACCCCACACATTTCTACAGTAGCTTGGGATCTAAGCTTAGTCTAACAATCGATGGTAAACTACTCCATAGAACAGACGACAAGCTTGATGTGTACAGAATAAACTGTGGAGATATACTGCCACACTCTATACTGACTGGAGTTTCCCCAAGCACTGAGTGAGGACTTCATGCGTAGGTAGTCAGCACTATTGGAATCTGGATGGAAGGTAAAGGTGGCACAAATAGCTAATAGTTGCATCACCTGCCATGATGAAACAATATTACAACTAACCAAAAATTACAGAGGAGTAGTATATGTAAGTTTGTACACATACAGCATAGGTAGGAGTTTAATGGTAGTTAAGTTTTGGTAGGATTCAATTTTTTAATACAGTCTGATCTTGTCAAAACACTAAACCATCATGCAACTACTACAAGGGTCCTGAATGGAGAAAAACAGAAGTACGTATTACTTGCATAGTGCTGGCATTTGCTGTTGTCTAACCAATTCACCTTGAGGCTAGTTGTGCGTTTTCAGAAGAACCAGACCTAACAAACCTAGAGACAAAGATTAAGTTTCCACTTCTACTTCTTGGTTGCGCCTGTTCAGAAAAGATTCAGAAGACTTAAACCATTTGTAGATTGCTGCCACATCTTAGTATCTCACAGCCGATGGTAGCAAATATAGCACAGAAGCGAAGCATAAATATCTTGCCCATATTCATAAACAAAAAAAGGACACAATCTTTCACTTACACCCAAGTAAGTTGGTTTTTGTGCCCTGCCCTGAGATAAAATACAACTGCATCTAGTTATCACCTGCCCAGAAAGAAGAAAAATGAATTGGCTACAAGTCATGGTCCAAATGTGTAGGACACTAAAACAAAAGGAGCAGCAGAGGCTTAGGTGCTGGCTGTATTAAACAAAAGATGTACCGATCACACAATGGCAGTGGTTAGATTTGTGTCCTGAGCTAAGATTTTGGGGGTTTTTTTGGTTTGGGGTTTTTTTTTTTAGGTTGTCTGAATCATCTGTAGAATGGCTCACTTTTCTCTTGGAAAGCAAACGGGCTTCTGACCTGATCTGCAAAGCATACAGGAATTACTGTGCACACAAGACTAAGGTTATTTGTGTAACCACTAAATCTGATCTACACACCAAGAACACAACATTACTACGAGGGATGCAGGTAATGGATAAATGCTATTGAAGGAGGTAACTCAAGTGTATTTGATCTTTTTACTGAAGTTCTTCAAAATATTGTGTGGTTTTGTTCTAATGCAGATTGTAGATACTGGAGACTACTGAAGTCATTTACCACCTTAGACTGTCCTTAAAGGAATATCTGGTGTCTCTGAAACCATACATTTCTAGTATTTACTCACATACTAGGCTTAAAAGAAATTGTTTTACCCTGATCAGATCAGCTGACTTCCTTTTAGACATAAAACTGTGCTCTTGGAGACTTATTTCATCAGTAATGGTATACAGGCCTCAGAAGAAGTTTCTCATCCATCTGTAAAATCATTAGTGTAGGATATTTTCACCCAACATTATGCTGGCTCCTCGGAGGATCTCCTTCCCTCTGAACACCAGGCAAACTTTTATTTTTGACACTTTGCACAGAATAGGAGGGGAAGGACATATGATAACAACAACAAAGCACAGTAATAAAAAATAATTTCCTGCTCAATTAATAAACCAGTTTCTCTGGCTTTCCTATGCAGTCCTAGGAGTACCCAATGTACAGCTCCTTGACCAGCGGCAACATACAAAGCCTTGTGGGTAGGAGTAAATTAGACAAAGAGGAAAATCTTTGGACCTCTCACCCAAAGATTCTTCCCTTCCCATAGTTTTTTCCTGTAGGCAATATAAAGATTTAAAAACAGTCCCCAGTCCTACCTCCCATTGTTCATCTAAGAACTGCAGGACTAGAGCAGGAACTTTCCTCAATAATATTTGAATCTTTTGGGAGATACAAGCACATGAGAAGCAGTTTTTAACACCTTCTGAAGCCAGAGAAGCAAGTCAGCTGGTAACCCGCTAAAAAAACCCATTTCTTACATGTGTGATGCACCATCCCTGTGCAAGAGTTGATTACGCTGTTCTGTTGTCCTCCTGCCCTGCTCCTCCCAGCCACTAACCCCTCTTTTCCAGCCCTCCCCTCCTCCTTTTTCCTTCTCCCAGCTCCTCACTCCACATCAGGTATCTGTCCTAACGAACAACCATCTTTCAAGGAGCAGGCTAGAGGATAACAAATAAGAACTTTAAGCCATGAAATCCATGTCATTGTTTACAGAGGACATCTTTCTATGAAATACAGCAGTGAATAAATGAGCCAAACCCCCACATTTATCAACTACTTTGAAACACAAATCATTTGTAAACAACATGTCTCATCTCTCCAGGAGCCTAGAAGTAAAACAGTATTTTCAGTCTCTCACCGTCAGGAGAGAATGAGAAAAAGCAGACACATACTTGAAGGTTTCAGTTTGAAAAATATGCTTGACTGAAAAACATTTCTGTTCACTGCTTAAGGCTTCAAATGAAATGAAGCCAAGTTTTAAAATTCTTTCCTAAAACTAACATTTAAATGCAATAACCCACAGATTCTTCCCATTCATAAAACCCATCTCTGTGTTTTAAGATGATTACCACAGCAACATTTTTATCTGCCCTATGATACCTGACAGCTGGGAACTGCACCAGAAATCTGGCATCAATCTGCCTTAATCTATTACAGTTTTGAAAAGATAGATAATACTGTGGAATTACTGCACACTGACTAATACTTCCACTACTAGCTCACCTGACTGACTTATGACTTTTTCTGTTTGTTTTGGGGGTGAGGACAAGATACATTTTACAGTTGCTCATAATCAAGACTGGAGTAAGAACTAGCAAACTCCCATTTTAATTGGCTTCAAAGCATGCAGAACAGGGAAACAAACCAGATCCATCAGGCACACTAGGCTAGCACACAGATGGTTGATTTCGTAGTGAGGTGACACCCATCCCTCCCACTAGGATACCCTAAAGGGCAAAAATGCTTTTGAAGTGTCTCTGTGTAGTTATACAAAGTATTACACGGGGGCTACAAAAAAAACCATCAGCTTGTACCTCATTGTGGCTCATATATCTAAAGCCATCCAATGTGCAACTATGAAGAAGTACCACTCTTCAGCAATAGTTATCACCCCACCCTTTGCATCTACTGTTCCATTTTGGTTAGTTGCAGTATTCTGAAATGTAAAAATACCCAGTCTGCTTTCAAAAGCATGTCAAATAAAGATGTCCCTCAACTTGCATTGCAAGGGCCTTTCAATGTCTTCAAATAGAAATGGCTAGAGTGGAAGGGAATAGGTAAAAAAATGTTACCTCACGCAAAACACACTAATCACAGTTGAGAAGGCTGGGAAGCATGAGTGGCAGACTTTACTTTGGGAATTCAGGGCAAATAATTTGGGAAACTGAGTATTAGCTATGAGTGCCGTGATAATTTCTTTTTTCTCTCAGCTGTTCCTTTTCTCCTACAGTCTGAAATCAGCCACTTAAGTCATCGTTTTCCTGAGATGAAGACCACTGTAGTTTTATCTTACGTATAGTTGCCTTGCAAAATGAAAAGTCTGGTGTTTTCAAAAATAGTAAAAGCAAATTACTTTGAGGGGCTTTGCAGTAGTACTTAATGATAGTCTCGCTCCTACAGCACAAACAATACTCAGCAAACTGGTCTCTGCAGTGATATGAAAGAAAATGAAAATGAGCTAGTTTATGGAGATGTACACTTCAGTGCTGACCATCTGTCAGACCAATTCATGAGCTATTTTTGAGTGGGTATTCAGGACAATACGAAGTTTGCAGTGTAGGTGATAAACTTATACAAACAAGCTGCTTTCCAAGAAAGACCTTGCAAGTTGGGTACAGGAAAATTAGTCTTTGACACTTAACTATTGAGAAGTTAAGCCTGGTGTATAATTGTTCTTTTTATCAAAGTTACCATGGAAAGAACAATTAAAACTATCCAAGCTGTCAGTAATCATAAGAAGTTTGTGACGGTTTAAAAAAATTTGACCAGAAATCAGCAAACTCTCCGCTTGGAAAAACCTTCAGGCCTGGCTGATTTTCCTAGTTAGCTCACAAAGAAAACATTGTGTGTCCAGAATAGATTTACACTCACCTGAAAGCACATGAGGAGCAACCGATTTCTATTCTGATCCCACAAAAGTCTGTCCTAACATGAGCAACAAGTGGAGAGACACTGGATGAATATTCTGAATTCTGTATCACATAAGGAACACCAGGTAAGAGCACAAAGTAGCCCCCTTCCAGATAGGCATATCACAACTAGGGAAAAGGAAAAAGTTGACCCGAAATAATCTAGAAAGCCTCAAAATATATAAGTTTATTTAGCTACAATATTAAAAAGTACAATATAAAGATATAAAAGATAGAAATTCCATAATTAATTCACATGCTAAAAGGATTAATTGACCAGCCGTAAGGAGGAGACTTCATGAAATATATGGACATCCTAGCCATAAAGGCTATTTCATCAAGTTTCAGACTTGAAATATTGAACAACCATTGCAGAGAACTTGCTCTCCCATATCACCATAACTAGGGAGGGGGGGAAAAAAAAAAGAAAAAAAAAGAAAACCAAAAGAAACAATGTCAGTGTGTCTTCTGTTTCTGGAACATAACAAAAAGAATGCCATCCTATTCCATTATCAACTGTAACCACAGGACTCCCACGCAGCACACTCATATCATAGAATTGTTAACAGTGATGGCAAAAACTTAAGATTACTCCTTGGGAGTGCATTCATTCATCACTGACCAGCATACTCTATTGCTGGTGGGAAAGCAAGTGGAATTTTTGCCTCCTAGAACACTTAAATGAAAAGCTAAACGAGACTTGCACTAAGATTGATTAGACTACTTCATGCAGACATTTTATTTTCCATGTTTCAGACAGTTTTACTGTTGCTAAAGCAACCTGAGAAGAGTTCGAGTCCTTTACGTGGATGAGCTAGATATCTGCTGGGTCTTCGTAGGCTACAGCCAATTTTCAGGGCATATATAATTAAAATAAGCTTAAAAATTCAAAAGGCACTTACTCAATAGTGGAGCACAAAGAACAGGTAACTGTGTTACAGCAGCTGCAGAGCCTGCTGCAGTTCTGGCAGACAAACTGGTCGCACTGTGTACATGCTTCCTTGACATCAGCAGTTCTTACACACGATGAACAGGCTTTGGAAACTCCCACGGGTGGAACTGCTTTGAAAAGATGCAGTTAAGAAGAGAGATACTTTACAGCAAAACAGAGAAAGCACCTGGAAGTTCTAAGAACTGCGGAGCGTGGTTATCTCCGCTCGGCGTTACAGCCACAGGCGGCAGCAGGCACCAAGCACCGAGCCCGCTGCTTGTAACTTTGTTGGTACTTTTTCTGCTCAACGGCAGAGACCACCAAGAGATTCTCCAGCAGACCATACGTGCAACAGTTTCTAAATCCGCCAGCGAAGCTCAAATCTAACGCTTCCTTTAAAAAAAGACAACAAAGAAGAACTAGGGAGGGGGGGACAGCCCCCCGCCCCCCCAACGTGTGCCTGGAAGCCCGGCGGGCGGAGAGCAGCGCCTGCAGCCTGGCTCCAGGCAGCACCGCAGGGCAGCGCCGGCCCCCCCGCCCGCGGCGGGCCCACTCACCCTTCTCCGTGGCGGCGGGGCCCCTCAGCAGTCTCCCGTCGTGGCCGATGAGGAGCTGTCCGCTCCACCGCCGCCCCGCTCTGCCGTCCTGGGCCTCCCCGCCGGGCTCCGGCGAACGGCTGACCGCCCGGGCGGCGGCGGG